CCCCAAAACCCCAAAACCCCAAAACCCCAAAACCCCAAAGTTCGTAATCAAATAAGTTAGTATTATTAGATTTCGCTTTATAAATAAAATGAAAAAGGGAAACCCAGCAAGCAGTAAATTGCTCCAAAAGAAATGGCGATAAAAGGACTATGAGGGTCATCTTGCAAGACTCCAATAAGTTCGTCCTGGATTAGAATTGAATGCACCAGGTCAGTTCAACCATTTAAAAACCAAAGCTAAAAAAGAGCAAATTCTTGAAGGTAAGTATCCAAGTCCACTCTTAATATCTTAAACGATCTATAAAGATAAATACATTGAGATCGAAAGAGAGAACAAGATTTTGCTATATAAAATGTAAAAAATCCTGAAAAACAGTCAATCTCAGCCAACTCTCACTACTCAGACTAAATGTATTAAATTTTTTCTAATATGAAACTTATTAATAGTCCAACAGCCAACCCACATCAATATGGGATTGACCTAGTAAAACTCCTAAATGAACTCAATTGAGGAAAAAAAGAGTCTCAATCGTGATTTTAGAAAAAGAGAGTTGCTCAGAGTCACACTTGAAAACTATGTACCCTTCTATAATATTTAATTATCCATAAAAAGGAATTCCTTAAACGTCTGAACCAAAAAGGAAGTGCTTACAGTGTAACTAAATGGGAGGAAGAATTTAAGTAAAAGGAGAAGCTATTAAAGAGCTTAAGTGAATTCCCATAATTTTATGAGGGTCATGCCGCTACCTAAACATCATTTAATACAAAAAGGAGTGGATACAAGCTGCCAGAGATTAATTCGTCGATTAGAAATCATACTCTAACTAAATGTAATAATATTCAACCCTCAATAATTGTTGTTTAGTCTCTAAGAGAACGTATGAAAAGACTGAAAGATCTAGAGCAGATAGCGTAAACAACACTATTTTACAACCGTCAGAGTAAAAACAAAAAATCATCAAGATTCATGAGGAGATGCTTATTAAAATAACAAAGAATGCGAATCTTATGAGTCCTGAGACTTTCAAGTACTATACAACAAAATATATGAAAAAAGAACTATTTGACATTCATATCTACCGAACTAGGGAGTAAGTCAATACTATAATCATTATTCGTGATTTAATATAATTATGAATGTAGTGACTATGTCTTTGTTTCGGCAATGAACGAAAGGTCTAGTGAGATATTCCTAATTGACCTGCCAAAACCAAAATCTATTGAAGTCCTAGCTTCCTTTGACAATGACTATGAGCTATTGTGCGATTTCCTAGACATAAAGAAAAACAGATTGGTCATTTTAAATCCTAAAAAAGCTAATAAGAATAGAGCTTTAAGCTAGAAACCTCTCAACTAGAGTCCAGAGATGCAGGAAGTGCAAGAAGATCGTGTGCCCAATCATTAAATGTAAGACTCATAAACTGAAAATCCAGTTGATTTGGATAAGCAACAAGTTATTGAAGGCTCGCTTGATAATGTTTCTCAATGAATTTGATACTAAGATAATATATTTTTCAAGACTAATAATTCACTGAGTTATTTTACTTATGGGGTTTTGGGGTTTTGGGGTTTTGGGGTTTTGGGG